CAACCCGATCATGGTGAGGAAGAAATCCCCTAGGTTCAAGAGGGCACTTCTCCTGAAGTCCCCCCAATTCTGCAAAACCTTGCGGGGATATTCCTTCAAGCTCACAGCTTGACTTAGCCGTCATGAGCTACCTGGAGAGGTTCAAAAATACTCTCCAAATGATCAACCGAAGGTTGGACCGTTTAGATCGGGCTACACCACCTGAATCAAATGAGCTGGTGCCACCGCCTAAAACTCTTACAGGTCGCATGAAGGCGCAAAAAAAGGCGATAGCCCGTGCTGCGCGCACTGCAGCACGTCAAAGGAAGGGTAAGCAAGTGGCGAACAGTGGGCCTAAAGGCTCCAAAGGGCCGTCAAACACTGACCACGTCCCGGGTAGAATACCCGTTGCGTTAAGGCTCGGTGACAAATCACATCCTGAGCTATCCCATGCCACATCACACGAGCACTCTCACAAAAGTGATGCGCGGGGTGATTCTTATCACCGCCAGAATGACGATCTCAATCGTCATCGTGTGGGAGCTTCCCACACTCCACGGGGCAGTTCGTACCACTACGGAGGTCGTGAAAATTCCTCGCACCATTCATCGCCATCACATGGCTCTAGCCAGCGTGTGTCAAGAGCGACCGAAACTGCCGACCGAGACAAAGAGGAATCCGAACTGCGGAATTTCCTCAACCGCAATCGTGAGGGTCAAACCCACATGGGGGAAAGCGATCCCCAGATAGCTCTGCTACCTCAGATTGAGGAGCTACAACAAGCTCTAGATCAACTAAAAGCTCAGCAAAATGAGTAAGGACAAGTCACAGAAGCGTCTCCTTTTTCTCGGGTTGTGTTAGCCGCCCCTTTCTCATCCAGATTCAGAATGCCCAATATGCAGGCGTTCAATGGAAATTCTAATCCGTAGGATCATTTATACGAATTTAACGACCTGATGGAACTTTATCAAGTTTCTGATTTGGCAAAATGCCGGTGTTTGGCAGTAACTCTTATGTCTCATGCCAAGCGGTGGTTCAGGTCGGTCCCAGTGGGATCAATCAGCTTGTGGAACCAGATGAGTTCAACATTTTGGAGACACTTTCAGGCAAATAGACAGTTCTCAATGCCTTTGAGCTACCTCAGCAACATAAGGCAAGAAAGGAATGAATCCTTCCAATCTTACATCGATATGTTCCAAAAGGAGCTTCATAAAGTAGCTCATACTCCCGAGGAGTTCGTTCGGACTCTCATCATAGCGGGAGTTCGTCCACAGACCGATTTGTGGAAGGAGCTGCAATCAGAGGGCGATGTTTCTCTGACCCGTTTTTACAACCTTACAGAGAAATACATCCGTATTGAGAGCTCAGTGGCGGCGCTCCACCGCCACGACCCTGGCACTTCCAGCGATGTACCAGGTTGGGGTGAAAATAGGAGAGTTGATTGTAGATGGGCTAATGACGATCAACGAAAAGGAAAGAAACCTCAGTTCGAGCCCAAAAAGTCTTATGCTCCAGTTCCTCGTCGCGATCACGAAAGAACTCAGTATACCCTTTTGAATGCATCTGTTTTGGCCATTCTTGATAAATCAGAAGAGGCCAATCTACTCGGAGAGCCTAAGCCCATGAAAGGTCTCTCCTCATCCTGAAACAGTAAAAAATACTGTCGTTATCATAGGGACAATGGGCATCACACCGATGAGTGTCGAGCTCTTAAGCAGGCAATTGAAAATCTTATCAAGCAGGGACATTTCAAAGAGTATGTTGATGACTCTGCTCCCGTAAGGGAGAAAAATCAAGAGGAACCGAATATGAAGCGTCGTGATCGCAAGGGTGTCCGTAGCGTAGGGATAATCTTTGGAGGACCGCACCTCAGAGGAAACTCGTGAGGTGTCTAGGAAAGATATGCTCACGCAGCCTATCACGACCCCATCAGTGTGATAAACACGACGCAACGACCACTAAAGGTTAGTAGGGAGGAGGAAATCACCTTCTCCAAAAAGGACGCAGTCTGATTGCATCATCCCCATGATGATGCTCTTGTCATCACGTCCCAAATAGGGCGCTTTGACGTCCAAAAAATATTGGTAGACAACGGAAGCGCTATGAACATCCTGTTCCAGATAGCTTTTGAAAGAATGAAGTTGGATGAGGCCAACCTGAAGCCCGCCTCGATCCCTCTATATGTTTTTACAAGGGATAATCGATCCCCAAAAGAACGATCTCGCTTCCAGTCACGCTGGGTGACTCTGACAAGGTGACCAAAATAATTGAATTCTTAGTAGTAGATTGCCCATTTACATTCAATGGAATTCTAGGGCGACCTCTACTGAGGAACTTCAAAGCAGTCACTTCGATATACCATCTCAAGATGAAGTTCTCCACCCAGACAGGGATAGGGGAAGTAAGTGGATCTCAGCACGCATCTCGCGACTGTTAAGTAAAAGCAGTGCAGATGGTGTGCAAGGGGAAAGATATCTCGCGTGGCATTACCAAACAGGCAATGGCGATCAGTTGGATCGAACCACAGCTTGGCCCAGCCGAGGATAATATGGATCCTCGTATCCAGGAATGCCCTGCCAGTGGGCTAGTTGAGGATCTAACGGAAATGTCAGTCGACCAAAGCGAGCTGAGCAGAGTGTTGAGGATTGGAAGCAATCTCAACCCCTAGCTCGCTAACGACCTGATCAGCTTCCTTAGAGAAAGTATTGATGTGTTCACATGGACGCATGCCGACATGGTCGGGATCAGTTGGACATCATTTGTCATGCCTTGAACATCGATAGTGAAGCCTAGAGGTGGAAATTTTGGGCCGGGTTAGGCGGGTCAACCCTAACCCGACCCGAAAAAATACGGGTTAAACCCGGCAACAACCCTCGGGCGGGCCGGGTTACACAATGGCAACCCGCAACCCGTCAGGTTGGCTATGTGCAACCCGACGGGTTTTACGTTACAACCCGCCAACCCGGCGAGTTGTAACAGCCAACCCGCTAACCCGCCAGGTTGCAACAGCCAACCCGGCGGGTTGGCCAAAAAAAATAAAAAAAAATAATTTTTTTTTTCAAATTACCTCTTTACCCTTGAAATATAGCCGTTGGAGGGGTCCTTTTCGTCACTTTTCTTTCTTATTTTTTCCTATAAATTGGCTCTAAACTCTCACATTTTTCTCACAACTCAAATTCTTTTATTCTCTCATATTCTCTAATCTCTAATCTCTAATCTCTCAAGTCTCAATTATTCATTTATTAGTTTTTGCAATTTGCTCATATTTTAATTTTTATTAGTTTTTGCAATTTTTAATTCATATTTCCAATTTTCCAAATTCCAATTTCCATACTCCAATTCTCTATCTTTAATTTTTATTTCTTCTACATCAATTTTTTTTTTCAACTACAAGGGATAGCTATTTCTCTCCCATCAATTACAATGATGACGAGACAATAATTATTGTAATTTCTTATTTTATTTTTTAATAAATGAATAAATTTAATTATTCTTATATTACAATTTTAATGTATTAAAATTGAATTAATATTTGGAATGTTAACCAAAAAAAAAATTAATTTAATTTAATTATTGATATTTGAAAAGAAATTAACAATTAACTAAAAACAATTACATTTATAAATTGTTAATTATTCATTTGAAAAGTTAATTAAACATTTAAACTTAAATAAAATAAAACAAAACAAAATTAAAAAAAAAAAGAGTCAAAAAGCGGGTTAACCCGGCCCAACCCGCGCCTAACCCGGCGGGTTAGGGTTGGCTTTCCAGGTTGGGCCAGCCAATTCTCTAATGTTGGCCGCCCTAACCCGGCCCGCCAATGTCGCCGAACAGGTCAAGACCGACCCGCCATTTGCAGCAACCCGCCACGGGCCGGACCGAGCCGGGTCGGGCCGGGTCGGGCTGGGCCGGGCAGGTTGCTTTTCCGCCTTTAGTGAAGCCAAACTAGTTTACCAAAAAAGAAGGGCGATGGATCCGAAGCAGTATGTTGCCTTGAAAATCGAGATAGATAACCTCTTTTAGAACAGATCCATCTGAGAAGCACTCTACCCAAGCTGAGTTGCCAACCCAGTTCTAGTAAAGAAGTCCAATGGCAAGTGGCGGACCCGTGTTGACTTTTTCGACTTCAACAAAGCCTGCCCAAAAGACAGCTTTCCCTTGCCCAGAATCTACCAGCTCGTTGATGCCACCTCTAGGCATGAGTTGTTGAGTTTTATGGATGCATACGCGGGATACAATCAAATTCTGATGTATGCGCTAGATGAAGGGCATACCTCCTTTGTAACAGATCGGGGGTTGTATTGCTATAGAGTTATGCCCTTCGGCCTAAAGAATATTGGTGTAACTTACCAGCGGTTGGTTAACTAAATGTTTTCCTAGCAAATCGGGAAGTCTATGGAAATCTATGTTGATGACATGCTAGTCAAGTCGCATGTGGCTTCAGATCACATAACACATGTCGCTGAGATGTTCGACATCCTCCGGGAATACAGAATGAGGCTCAATCCTTTCAAATGCTCATTCGGAGTATCCTTAGGAAAATTCCTAGGGTACATGGTTAACCAGCGGAGGATAGAGATAAACCTGGCAAACGGGCGGGTATGGTCCGGGTAGCAATGGGTCACGGGTTAACGGGTGAAAAATTCTCGCGGGTCGACATTTTCATGATCCGTACCTGCCCGTGCGGGCGCGGGTCACCCACGGGTCACCCGTGAAAATGAAATAAGCTTTTTACATTTTTCATATTTTTTACTGTTTTCCATATTAAACTTATTAGTTATTAACTTATTATATTAAATAAATGGATGATTAAATTAAATTTGATTAGATTTCACCAATATTATTAATTCAATATTAATATTTTTCATATTTATATCAAAGTCCACCATATTCCATATAGATAATAGAATTAATAAACACTAAACATACATAGTAATTACTAATTAGTAAACACTAAACATATAAAATTGTTTAACATTCAACATACATAACATAGTAAACACTAAATAATTAAACGTATATAATTGTTTAACCAAAGTACCAAACACACTAAACAAACAAAGCCTCCCTTGATTATGCAATCTCCTTCCCCCGCCCTTGACTTAATGGCACAACCAGCTGAACATCATCAATTTCATCTTCTACAATTAACAAGATATAAGTTAACTATCGTAATATATTAACAAACAAAAATATTAAAACATGTGAAATATAAGTTAAAATGTTACCTTTAACTTCATATCCAGAAATCCATGTCCTGGTGCATATCAAAGACTCTGCATTCTCCGGTAAAAGTGAACTTCGATATTTACTGAGCACTTTGCTACCAATACTGAAACTGGATTCCGAAGCAACAGTCGTTATTGGTATACTCATCACATCACGGGCCATCATCGAAAGTATCGGATATCGATCACTATTTTTCTTCCAATGGTCCAGGACATCCAAATTGCAAAATTTGATGCGATCAAATCTTGCCTCTCCCAAATAAGTATCCAATTCGGACTTCTTAGTAGCACTAAAGTCACTCTTGTAGTAGTCAAATTCCTGCACCATTTAAATAGTTAAATTTAATAAAGCAAAATTACAAAATAAAGAAAACTTTATTAATCACAAGAATATAAAAATATTTAGGGAGTATTGACTTACACAGATATCATCTCCAATGATATGAGGATTACTAGCTTGTCCGCAATCATCTCCAGTGGGAACCTCATGGCCACTTAGACTCTCATAAGCAGCAAAAAGCCTATACAACTCCTGTTGCACCAACTCCAACTTTCTTGTTGCAACTACTGGGCCATCAACTTTTTTGTAACAAAACTCAACAAACTCAAACTTGAAACGTGGGTCCAGAATTGCTGCAATTGCTAACACAACTGTATAAGAATCCCAATATTTGTCAAATTTTCCTTTCATTTGACTTGCCATGGTACTAAGAACTTCATCCTCATTTTCCATCTCTTCGTATAAACGCACTTGAATTCTCCACACATTTCTGAGATACAAGTTTGCTGTGGGGTACTGGGAACCCGAAAAAAGAGTAGTGATCTCATAAAATGGTTGCAAGAACTTGCAAATCCTCTCGCCCCTATCCCATTCTTCATTTGAAGGACAACTTTTATAATTGGGATCTATCAGTGCCAAATGAACAAACACACGACGGTATATTAACGCACTTTCAAGCATTAAATAAGTGGAATTCCATCTCGTGGGAACATCCGTTCGTAATCCTTTTGAGCTTATTACACCAATTTGTTTGACAAGTTCTCCAAACTTCATTCTTTTAGCCTCACTTCCTTTAACATATTTCACACTTTCACGAATTTTATGCAAAGCCACGCTACTCACCTTTAACCCTTCTTGGACTATCAGATTCAAGATATGTGCACAACATCGCACATGAAAAAAAGAACCATCACATAATAAAACATTTTGCAGACAAAGTTGACTCCTTAAAATGTCTTCCATTTTATCATTGTTACTTGCATTGTCTAATGTAAGAGAGAAGACTTTCTTTTCAATCCCCCAATCTTTTAAGAAATCATACACTATGTCTGACAAAAGAGCCCCCGAGTGTGGAGGAGGAATATGGCTAAAATTCAGAATTCTACTCTGTAACTCCCAGTTCTCATCAACATAGTGAGCCGTTAAAGAAATATACCCATCAGTAGTACAAGAACTCCAAATATCAGAAGTCAAGCATATTCTACCCGAAACCCTCTCTAAAGCAAGCTTAATCCTTTCCTTCTCCCTGTAATATATCTTTAAGCAGTCCGCCTTAGCGGTGTTCCTAGTATAATGCTTAACTTCATGATTCAAATACATATGGACATCCCTAATTCCTTCATGCTCCACTATTGAATATGGGTAATTATGTTTTATGATTCCTATTGCCATCTTCTCACGATAAATTTCTTGAGAAATCTTCAAACGTCTCAATTTAGTGTCACAATCCATCATCATTTGATCTACACTAGTAGTAATGGTACGTTTAGGACAACCTTCCATATGGCGCCTCATATTCTTAGTCCCATGACTGGAACTACCATGTGCATAAGACTTACCACAAATCATACACTTTACCCTCACTTCCCCATTATCTTCTGTATATGTTGTAAATTGACCCCAAACATCTGAAACTTTACGTCTTTTTGGACAAACAGTACTACCAGTAGAAGGAAGTTGACCTACGGCTACATTACGACCCATTCCTAAATCTGTAGAGTCCTCCATACCAAGCCAATCTAAAGGACACAACAAAGTATTTACATTTAAATTAATTAACCAATCATAATTCATAACAATTCGTCAAAAAAATAAAAACACTCCCATATATTTTACAAGCAAACCAGCCCTACCAAATGACTGGATTTTTCCAACTCAACAATCAACACCCCTCAACTCCAATAAGTATAACCAATCATAATTCATAACAATTCATCCAAAAAAAAAAAAAAAATAATAAAGAATTTAAACATGATTACTTACATTAATAATCTAATAAGTTTGGTGCACCAATCAGAAAATAGAAAATTTTAATTCTAACAGCCCATACCAATTATTCATGTATACAATAATTTGAAGCCGGATGAATTTTGTTTCCTCTTATTTTCCAGTTGACTTTAGAAATGATAACATTATTAATGAAGCTCACTGTTTACAGTATTCCATTTCCAGATATGAAAATCCAAAAGAAAACGATCATAAACAGACAAAACCGCCTTCGCCTCTGATTCAAAGATTAAGCAAAATGTCAACATGGAGACAGGATATTTAGTTAGAATATCCAAATATTAATAATATTAATCTTATAATAAATTAATAACTCTGTATGATGAATTATGATCACTAATTAAACAATATTATAAACTGATAGATTATAACAGGTTATACGCATCTACACGACAACACATCAATTAGAATAATAAAAAAAAAGTTTATAGAAGTAATAAGTTAAAGTTATCATGAAGTCAAACAAATAAATGAACCCACCAAATAAATAAATGAACTGAAAGTCTAAAACCACAACCCACCCACTCACCCAGTAACAGACTGTTACGAAAACAAATATTCAATTCAACTACAAAATATTTAAAGGTCCTGCCCACCTGCCGTGCTGGTGCTGCCATGAGAGGAGACTGCTGCTGCCGTGCTGGTGCTGCCGTGAGTGAGACTTGCTGCTGCCGTGACCTGTTGCTACTGCCATGACCTGCTGCCGCTGCCGTGACCTGCTGCTGCCGTTAGAGAAGTCAAAGAATGAGGGAGAGTGGAGCTGCTGTGAGAGTGAGAGAGTGAGGGAGTGGAGCTGCTGTGGGAGGACTGGAGCAGTGCAGGCTATGGAGTTGCTGTAGAAGAGAATGCCTGCTGCGTTTTTTTTTTCTTTTCTCTAATAAGTTTTGCTATTTTACTTTAGATTAGTGTTTGAGTTGAGACTTGAGAGTGAGATGTGAGAGGACGAGATGACTGACGAGTCATTCAACAGTTTTTTTTTTTTTTTTTTAAATTTTGAATTTGCGGGTTCGCGGGTACCCGCGAGTAGTACCCGGTCCACCCATAAAAGTCACGGGCGGGCCGGGTACGGGTTAATTTTTCAAGGGTCGAGATATGTATTACCCGTACCCGCCCGTTGGGTACGGGTACCCATTGACCCGCGGGTACACCCGCCCATTTGCCAGGTCTAGATAGAGATCAACCCCGAGAAAATCCAAGCTCTCCTCGACATAGAGAGCCCGACCAGCAAAAAGCAGGTTCAAAGTCTCAATGGGCAAATAGCGGTGCTTAGTCGCTTCATATCGAGGGCAATAGATCACTGCTTGCCATTCTTCAACATTCTCAAGGCCAATAAGAAGTTTGAGTGGACTCCCGAGTGCGAATAGGCATTTCAGAGCATTAAAGAGCATCTCGGAAGGCCACCTCTTCTGTCCAAGCCTCTCCCATAAGAGATTCTGCTCATGTATTTGTCTGTCTCTCAGTACGCAATCAGTATGACGTTAGTTAGGGAAGAGAGCAAGGTTCAATGGCCAGTGTGTTATGCGAGCAAGCGCCTGTTGGATGGCGAGATGCGGTATTTGGAAATGGAGCAGTTAGCTTATGCCCTGCTGATCGCTTCCAGAAAGTTGCGACCTTATGATATGAATTTCTACAACCTCAATTCATATACTACCCTAAAACAACCACTTTTGACTCAACCTAGGCTAGGTTTTCTTCCAACTCTTTATGACCATTCGGTTATCACACTTCATACACATTCACAGCCATCAAATAACTAAAAACAGCTCCTTATATCAAACTCCAGTCATTCACAAAGTCATTTATGTTCAAATGCACCACAAATGGATTCATACACACCATGCAAAACAAAATCCGGAAAATGAGTTTATTTGAGACTAAAGGAATACAACTTACATAAGAGATGACCAAGGACTCAATCAAGCCTAAAGGAAACACCACCAGCTTGAAAAATACTCCACCACCAAGTTTGGCCGAACTTGGGTAAAGGAAACAAGAGAAAACTCTTTCTCAAGACAAGTCACTATTCATTCAATATTCAAAGTCCTTTACAAAATGATCAAGTGGCCTTTATATAGGCTTTACAAAAATTAGGGATTTACCCTAGCAAATATTACATAAAGAAAACATTCAAATATTACATTCAAATATATAAACAAAAGTCCACCACACATGCTAAAATTAAGCCATAACCATTTAATGACCAAGTGGGCAACTTTTCCCTAAATTAAGGACCCTTGTCCTTAACAACAATTTTTAGGGTTTTTCCTCCAAAAGTTGAATCAAATGACACCCAAAACTTGGGCTTGGGCCAATGAAACTTGCTCCCACTTCTTGTACACGTTTTAGGCCACAAAATTGGGCTTGGGCCGTGCCTTGGAACCTTAAGACCTCTTGGACAATTTTGTGAACTTCCTTGAGTGCTTGGGATGCTTGGGCCGAATGTTGATCTTCATGTTGTCCTTGAGTCTTCAATGAAATCCCTAGCAATTGTGATTGGCATGATGGGTTAGGATTCTCATCACCTTACTTCCATGCCTATACAATCCATGTAATGACAAGTTATGCCTGAAAAAGTAGGGCTAACGCAGATGGGCTGTCAGCATAAGTGGTCAGAGCTTAGGTAAGTCCAGGTGTCGTTCAAGTGCAGCCACGTCGCGAGTTGACGCAAGAGGTGTGGTCCTGCTAGTGCAGTAGGTGTGCATCAGGCTGGTGAAAGGCTGGAGATGATCCACATGTCCAATCCTTGCAAAACTCGAGTGAATTACTCGAGCAGGTGAATAACGGGGCGCAAGGAAGGATTTGCACAATAATCTGACCCATTTACGGATTTAGTAATCATTACGTGATTTCATCCCACTATAAATAGAGGGCTCCTCTCTTGTTTGTGAGATTAGCTAATTTCTCTATGTAATAGCTTACTTATTTTCTCTTTATAATCACTTGTAAGTCAGCTCGCTGAACGCGACCTGACCTTAGTATATTAATACAATATCAGTGAACGTAGGAGTTGCTTTTTAAGCATCCAAACCATTTTAAACATCGTTCTCCATCTTTTATCCATTCTCATACCCCCATTTGCGTGTGTTCTCTGAGTCAGCTCAATATTTCACACGTGTGTTTAGTTGATGTCAAAATCACACACCAACAATATCTTAGTCACCTCAAATGAAAGCCATGTTCACTTGCTACTGGCCCTAAATAACACAGGGGAAAAAGAATAGCTAAAAATATCTTTTACGTTCGCTTTGTATATGATTAAAAACTTTTTCATGCTTTTTTTTATATTTCTATAAATTATCATGTGCTGTTGCTCTTCTTCTTCAGGTCATACCATGAGAGATCTTCTTGTTTTATTAAGTTTTTTTATCATTCTTTGAATATGATAAAAACTTTACATGGTCATATCGATAACCATCTCGTTTAAGAAAATGCAATTTGGACCAAGACTCCCTTTCTCCATATTGTTTCATCATCCACATCTCAACAATATTAAAATATTGAATACAAAATATACCCATATAATGCACCATTTACTTACAAAGCACTCACGGTATAAGGGAAGTATCTCATACTATAAAATGGACTTCACAAGCAGAAATCATATTATAGTCATTATAGAATTGATATATTCTCGCAACATTATAGTCATAGTGGACATGATCATGTCAAAATCCACCTTGAAAAAGCTCATTGACACTTGTAGTGGGTAACTTCTTATGCCTTTGAGTAAACGAATTCCATAAAACAAGTTCTTTATCTTCACTTGCACCAAGTGAATGGGAAAGACAGAGCAACCCATGGCAGAAAATAACACGACTGTTAGTTTGAGTGTTGACAGGGTGTTGACTTGACGATGGTTGTTGAAGAACGATAGACCATTGATCATCAAAGCACACCATGATTAGTTCTTCCGGGAGTTTCAACCATCTTATTTGTTTAGGATGACCATCTTATTGGCTTAGTTAAAGGATGGATGTTTACACTGGGCTTTAGTGGTGGACGGGAAAAATGGACTAGCATAAGGGCTGACATGTGGTTCTTTGGGCCTGTCTTGTTTGTTCTCTGGAGGGCTTTAAAGATGGAGCAACAGGGCTCCTTCGGCTTGTACTAGTTCTTTTTGGCAGTCTCATTTAAGTTTGTTATGGGTGGGCCCTAACGGTGATTTTTTTATCTTGGGCCTTTTTTTACTGAGCAGGACTACTTTGTGTTGTGCCAGTGGCCTGCTGTGTGTATAGCTCTCTTGAACCTTGTTTTTTGTTACAATAATGCTACGGACACCAGGATTTTTGCACCAAAATATTGTACCGGCCTACGTGTAACACGCCTTTGATTTTTTTAACAATTTTTTTCTAGTGAACGGCCGTCCATATTATATGGACGGGGGTCCATACACCAGGGACGGGCGTCCCCAATTAAAGGACGGCTGTCCCTTCATTTTGGACGGCCGTCCCTTATTCAAAATATGAAAATAAAAAAAGAAAAAAAATTTGGGGACGGCCATCCATACATTTTGGACGGCCGTCCCTTAAGTTTGAACGCCCATCCATACTTAAAAAAAAAAAAAAAAACATTCTAAACACCTTTCTTCTTCAATCTTCTTCTTCGTCTTCATTCCCCATCTCCTCTCTTTTTCTTCGTCTTTATTCCCCCAGCCTCACCTTCCTGAATATTAGTAATAAATATGAAAAAAACACAGTGAATTCATAAACAAAGCCATAGGTAAATGCAAGTAATAAATATCTCGTGGGAACTAATAATTTTTAATGGTGACAGTGATGAACAGAAGAATATAGTTATCAAGCTTAATTGAGCAAAATCATCTTCGCCAACAACACCAAATGGTATGATTTTGGCTTCATACAATGGACCTCCTTCATACCATGGGTACAGGAACTTTCCAAGCACGATTCAGCCTAGAGCAAAGGGGATTTTCTAATTTTATCTCAACCTCCATACCATTGTATCTAGTGCATGTTGTGCCTACTTATTACAATTTTAAGTTCAGTTCCAGTCGAGAGATGAAAGAGGTTAGTGCTACAAAAATCAATTTCATTAGGAAGCCCGGTGAATAACGGAAAGCAAAGAGTTAGTGCCTAATGGTAAGCTCAGCCCTAAGATGGAGTATTCCATTTATGAAGTAAAGACTGTCTTCAACCATGAAGGAGGTCTTTTGTATGGCAAATAAGTTCTTGTACCCAACTGCCTTTCCTCCGGTGAAGGTATAGTTACCTTTGTATTTGCTAACAAACTCCTCAGTTGGCTTTGACCGTGCCGCAAACTCATAATCCACAGCAAAAATCATTGGTCCCTTCTCCTGCATCCCCAGAAATAGCCCAAAACAATGAAAAGAGCTTTGCTGGTCCATGTTGCACTGAGCAGACAAGAAGAGCCCTTGTCCACCCAAGTGGAATGCCTGAGAATACATTATGGGCCATGTTGATACTGGTAAAACAAAGCTGCTAGATTGTATCCGAGGTACTAATGTTCAGGAAGGTGAGGCTGGGGGAATGAAGACGAAGAAAAAGAGAGGAGATGGGGAATGAAGACGAAGAAGAAGATTGAAAAAGAAAGGAGTTTAGAATGTTTTTTTTTTTTTTTTTAAAGTGTGGACGGCGTCCCCAAATTTTTTTCTTTTTTTATTTTCATATTTTGAATAAGGGACGGCCGTCCAAAATGAAGGGATGGCCGTCCCTAATTTTTATAAAAAAAAAATTATTCCATTTTACTTATGGACAAGCGTCCTTTAATTAGGGACGCCTGTCCCTGGTATATGGACCCCCGTCCATATAATATGGGCGGGCGTCCATGTGAGTGAATGGTCGTCCAAATTTGATGGACGGCCGTTCACTAGAAAAAAATTGTTAAAAAAATCAGAGACGTGTTACACATGGGCCGATACAATATTTCGGTGCAAAAATCCCGGTGTCCGCAGCATTATTATTTTTGTTAAGGCCGAGAGTGGTCCTTGGGCTCCTTTATGTAGGATTATAAATACTTGTTTTTCTTGACTTTCTTTTGTTGTAACCTTGGGTCTGTCTAAGGTTTGTAGTTTGGAGGGAATCCTCCTCTCTAGGTTGTAAATTTTATTATTTTATACAATCATTGGTTTACCCCAAAATAATAATAATAATAATAATAAAAATAAAAGAAAAAGAAAAGTTGAGGTTTGAAAGTTAAAATCACAAGTATCTTCATAAGAACCTACGCTATATAAAATTAGATTTTCACCATAAGTAAAATGGTTCAATTGCAACTAGTACATGAGATTTTAGAATCTGAAACTTAGACACTACTTTGATAAAATTTTAAATCATATTTTTAACATTGATGCACAATAATTAAAATTTAAAATCTTATTATTTTATACAATTTTTTACATCAAATTATGACCGTTAGATGTCATCACATTAAATGGCCTAGATTAAAAGTAATTTGATAAGTTCATATCAGTAATTAATTAGCAAATCTTGAAACAAAATTTTGGTGCATTAGGTAAGTTTAGGAATGGGGTTTAATAAAAATGACAATGGAACAATATAATTATTCATTAATTTTAGATATGAATATGTAAAGTTACCTTTAATCTGGACTATTCAACGTGTTGCATTTTAAATGAAGATACTGCTGCGTTTTAAATTTGTATTACCGTACTGGCTTTACTTGATCAACAGTCAAGAATTTACAAGGTTGTATCTTCACCATACCATAACTAGCAACGACAAACTCCATGTGTTTGTGTCTAGTCGTTGGCTAGCCTCTTGGCTAAAAGATTATTAACAAGCTATGTTTTGTTGATGATACTTCAAATCAAGACCTGTAAGAAGTTTACAAGGAACCCTGGGTCTAGGTTAAACAACATTCAATTATGGTTTGAAGCATCTAATGAAGCCTCATTCTGCAATATTATTAGTTTGGCATATACGAATAAGTGTAAAAAACTTCTCCTAGTTGCCAAGTTCAATACTTTGCACTGGTATGATTTAAAGGATAATGAAGACAAAGTACTTTTCTTACCTCATTACACTATTGGTTTCGAAGCTTTGATGTGCATTGAAAGTTTGGTTTCACTTGGCGCCGACAACAGATCTGATGTGTGAAAGGTAGAGAGATAAAAACATTTACAAGCATCCTTATTTTAGTTATTTGATAAATTTTTTCCTTTCAAATTAATATAAACTAGTTCAATTTTTTCAGTTATATACAAAAGCGTCAAGTAGTGGACTGGTGTTAGGAAATAGCCTTTTAGTATAACCACCTGGATTTAACAGATGATTGGCATGGATTATTCTTTGTACTGTCTTCTTGGGTTGAAAAATTTCTATATATATTTGTAATTATATATAGAAAATTATAATGTACCTATTTGGTGCAAATATTATGCTAATTTTGTATTATAATAATAATAATAAAAAGTTGAGGTTTGAAACATAAAATCACAAGCATCTTCACAGGAACCTAAGCTACATATAATTAGACTTTCACCAGAAGTAAAATGGTTCAATTGCAATTACTAGCATGAGGTTTTAGACTCTGGAACTTGGACAATACTTTGATAAAATTTTAAACCAAATTTTCATTTAGGATAATAAAAATTAAAAATTTCTTTATTTTATATAATTTTTTAGATCAAATTATAACTGTTAGATGCCATCATATTAAATGTCATAGATTAAAAGTAATTTGATAAGTTCATATATGTAATTAATTAGCAAACCTTGCATTGGATAAGGGTGAGCACCCATGATGGATTAACCTAAACGATGTGTGAAGTGGAAACTGCCAAAGACAGTTTTCACCTAAAAATCTGCTTGGTAATTGCCACCCATATATAAGAAAAGTTTTTTCTTTTAGAAAAAAAAGATTCACTCTGTCTCTCTAAAAAAAAATTGTTGAAGAAAATTTTCTACGGTAGTTTTTTCTTTCCAAATTCAACTTTTGTTTCAGAGTTAAGGAGAAAAAATATTTATGTTGTGAAATACATTGTAATTCGTTTGTATAAAAAATGTGATTGTAATGGGTGACTATTAACATGATCTTGGGATTAGTTTAGAATATCTGTTATTCTGGATTTTTTCCAACATTGCTATCGGAGCCGTGGTTTACATTGTTTTTAATTTCGTACTATTGTGTTAAGGCATGTTGCATGTTACTTAAATGTAGTTCTGAAATTTCATTTTTTATGCGTAAAAACTTGTCTTTCTGGTAATAATAATTAGATTATTTGATTTCTTGTGAAATTATGAAGAAAATGGTTTTTAAATCATAAAAAACGGAGTTAAAATGACTTAATTATGCCTCTTTAAAGTTTCGGGGGTTGTATGGGTTGTTTTCCGGGTCGGGTACCAAGTTACAGACTCGGACAGAGGTAGAAGATGATAAAGACTGACAAGTCGTTTTAATTTCAGCCTTATAAACGACTTGTCGTTTGTTTCTACTCTTTTTAATAAAAAATTTAAAACCAGAATGCATTGTGACGACTTGAACGTGGGCCTGACAAAGTTATAACTGTCCATGAACCATTTGGGCAGATTTTTGTACAAAGATATAACTCCTACCGCAATTATTTATTTATTTATTTATTTATTTATTTATTTATTTATTTATTTATTTATTTATTTATGGCTACTACATTCCTTTTATGCCATGAGTTAAAAAAATAACATGGGTGGTGAGACTTGAACCCAAGTCTCTGGGTAAAAGGAATAAGTCTAACCATTGGGCTACAATTTTGTTTGTGTGAGCCATACTTACAAATCCAATATATTGATTTCCGGCCCAACCCAAAAACAAAAAAAAAGGGGTCAAGTTGACCCACGGATTTGACCCAGAACATCAAATGGGTTAGTCAAACCCGGTTAACGCCTGACCCATAAGGTCAAACAAAGTCAATGGGTCAAATTGCCCCGGTTAAAGGTGAAACGGGTCAAATTGACCCGAATTCAATGTGAGTCGCATGGAGAACCCTGACCGGCGCGTGATTGCTTCTGGTGGCAAGTGAGGGTGCGTGGAGTGTTATAAAAAAAAAAAAAAAACTTCCTTTGCTGTAAAGAATAAAATGCATACTTGGTACGTTATTATGAGTCTAATGTTGTTATTAAGCCATAAACACGTATATATATATATTATTTATCAAATATAGTCAACCTTTATTTGATAAATAAATAGTTTTTTTTGTATTTGTTATGGAAAAATATTACGTTACAGACGTGCAATGGCTGCTAGAACACCCGCTCAAAAGGAAAGGGTTATGAATATGATTAGAACTCTACAAACTCACACCTTAATATTAAGACACAGAGGATGAGTTGGTGCAACTCATAAATCATTTCATTCATGTGAATGAAAAGATTCAAGAAATTGTCTGGATAGGCAGATTTGACCCAGAACATCAAACGGGTTAGTCAAACCTGGTAATGGTCAACCCTGACCCATATGATCAAACGGGTTAGTCAAACCCGATCAACGCCTGATCCATAAGGTCAAACAAAGTCAATGGGTCAAATTGACTCGGTTAAAGGTGAAACGGGTAAATTGACCCGAATTTAATGTGAGGCGCGTGGCAAGCGCGTGGAGAACCCTAACCAGCGCGTGGAGTGTTATAAAAAAAAAAAAATTTCCTTTGCTATAAAGAATAAAATGCATACTTGGTACGTTATTATAAGTCTAATTTTGTTATTAAGCCATGAACACGTATATATATATTATTTATCAAATATAGTCAATCTTTATTTGATAAATAAATAGTTTTTTTTTTTTTGTATTTGTTACAGAAAAATGTTACGTTATAGACGTGCAATGGCTGCTAGAATACCCGCTCAAAAGGAAAGGGTTATGAACATGATTAGAACTCTACAAACTCTCACCTTAATATTAAGAGACACAGAGGATGAGTTGGTGCAACTCGTAAATCATTTCATTTATGTGAATGAAAAGATTCAGGAAATTGTCTGGATAGGGGGATTAAAGGAAGATGAGTTGAAATACAAAGTCCTTAGAGAGACTCTTGGTTACCTTAGTCTCGTTGGTCTCCTTGATCTGATTTGGAACAAGCTGAAAGTTCAAAACCTTAAAAATGACAATAAAGATTATAGATGTTTAGTCAACAACTACATCAAGGAGTACATAGATTGGGGTGCCAAAAAGACAGCTGGTGCATCTATAAGAGTCTCCACTCATAAAGGACATCACAAGAAACTGGGAGTTTCCTTGCCTAGGGTTACTTACAAGTTAGATAAGGACCTTAGGATAAGGATTATCAGATCCTTCCCAGTTTATGGAATGTGGCAGTTCACTTAGTTTTTTTTTTTTTTTTTTTTTTTTTTGGAAATTGTTTATTTTAATGTCACTACATGTTGAATTCTATTTACATAATGGAATCAGTTTTTGTTTATTTATTTATTTTTCATTAAAATTTAAATTTTATGT